TAACTATTCAAAACAAATAGCATTTTCAGCATTAAAAATGTAGATACTTTAGACTTTAAATCCTCTTAACACACACGTTTTAAAAATTGCAGTATGAGGAAAATTCATATTGGTGATAACAAGGAAATGTGCTTATAAGCTTCTGGCGAGTAAGATGATGTGAAAATAAACTCAGTTCTTGGTTTCACACCAGAGACAAAAACAAAATAAATCAAAGTAATTACTTATTGCTTTCTAGAAATCTATAAGGAAGTAAAACACTTTCAAGTTTTTAACTTGAAATTTTTAACTTTAGGGACCTACAAAAAAGCTCAGGTTTCAATTCTTCCTAAAAATTCAGATCAGTGTATTTGGCTATGATTTCGTATATATTAAATAGATGTATTCCAGGCCGACTCAAAGGAGGTTATAAAGTTTTTCTCCAGGTGCAAATCCATTAAAATTATTTTTCTTATTTGATTCTGAAAATTACACCTTTGAAACTGGGTCATTCTAGTGTCATCACAGTGTCAGGTAAGGGCACCCTGTATTTAGTGCACTTCATAATATTTTTATCTGAATCTTTAATATTAATGAGACCTTCCATGAAATTATCTGTGGGATGCCAGCCCCTCTTAACAAGTACACAAGATCAGTAGAGAGTTATCAGTGCAAAGTATAACTAGTATCATCTTCAAAAAATTCAAATTTTAATAGCTTTAGAATCTCAGAAGGTACTACATAATTTATCAACTTTTACTTTCATTAGTAGAGATAATGACAAAGATAATTTTTCAAATTGGGCTTTCTTTCTGTGCTGAAGCCTAAGTTTCCATAGTCCCCAAAATCTGAGATCTTGCTCTTCCTGCTTAGGAAACCTCTGAAGTTAAATCTTCTCACCATGACAAAAATAGTTAGGTTTACTGACTTCACAAGCTAAGTTATGAAACCATTTGCAGTTCATGGAGTTTAAAATGGGTAAAACTGAACCCTATTCCAATCTGAAAGTAGTAAATGTTTTTTTCTAGAGCACAACTGAGTCCCTACCAGATTCTGTAACAATGGACTTCAAGCTCTTCTAGCTTCTGAAATTTAAGTTCCGAAACACACTTAGCATTTTACTTCAACATGTAAGAAAGCAAACAGATTTAAAAAAAAAACTCTGAAGTCATTGTTGAGAGTCAGTTTCTTCAGTGTCTGAACCCAAAGCCCAGACTCAGTTAGCAGCAGTATAATCAGCCCTGTGTGGGAATCAAAACAGCACCCTACTGAGTGGAGGTCTGGAGAGATCATGATACAGGTGGTAAGGAATCTCACATACCCTCTGTACATTCACAAACAGCTTGTGAATAATTCTGCCAGCATGTCCTCTTCCTGCACCGACGACTAACACTTCAGGCTGCTCTAACAGGCCACTCACGAACCTAGGAGAGGGGTAATGAAAGGACAGAGAGAGGGCGGCTTAGTTCATGTTACATCAGTCTTCCCAATTAATTCTGTGGGCAAACCCTCAAATTAATACCAGCTACACCTACCAAGGCTGGAGTGGAAATTGTATAACAGGATAAACTGACATTCGGAATTAAAATCGACTCAAATGACAATCTCACTGCCTTTCAACTGTTTTCATAAAATTTGTTAAAAGCCCATCTCTGTCAAAGTGTAACAAGAAACATTNGGAATCATGTTGGAGCCGAGTTCATTATTTTATTGGTAACTTTTTCATCCAACATCCTTCCTCCTACCTCCGCAAACCATCACTGATTCTGAGCAGCCTGGGGCCAGGCCCTTGCACCTAACAGATACATTTCGACAGGTATATTGCTACAGAGGTTCTGGAGCCCATGGAGCTCAAAAGGAAGCTACCAGGGTAACGGAAGAACAAAATACCAATTCCAGTTCTCAGCAAATGCAACTTAGAAAATTCCAACTAAGACATCTGCTACCCGAATTGTTCCATTGATCAGAACTAAGAGCAACCAAATGAATCATCACAGTTAATTGACATGATTTCTGTCTTCCCTTGTTATTTTTATAAATGTTTTAATTAGAAAGGAGACCATTATTTCTAGTAAACTTAAGATGAGTGGTAAATATCCACTGAACGACTCAGGATGTTTCCCCAAAGAGTCTTCCTATTGTTCCTCTGAGAAATGAGGGAGCATTTGATTCCCGGCCCCCTCCCCACCCCCATCACTCCCTTTCCAGGAGAAGCCACGAGAATGATAAGCAGAGGTACAAATACCTTTCAGCCGACCGAATGGTGTCCTGCCAAAAGGAGATTTCTTTGGGTGTCATTTCTTGGATACTCTTCCAAAGGAGAATGGTCTTTCTCCATGGGAACCCAATGACATTTTCCATTCTTTTAGAGGAGGGCTAACAAAGAGTTATCTTCCTTCTGAAATGTTCTGAGCATGCTGACCTGTCTGGACCGCTGAGCCTGAGCCAGCCGCTGGTTCCTGGTTGGACCTGGGCACTTTGTCAGCAGCCCGCTGAGAGGAGCCGAGCCCAGGCGGAGGAATCATGAGGCACAGGGTGACCTTCAGAATCGAGGCCCAGCAGCATCAGAGACCATTCCCGTCCTCTCTCCAAATTCAGTACAAATCCTCAAAGCTCGATTTTAGGATGATTGTAACAAACAAGTACTTGTCCCTTGCCCAGAATGTTCCCACCTGGTAGTTGGTGGGAGCTGCAGCTGAGGAAGGGGACACAGGGCTGCAGCGTGTGGTCCCTCTCTCTCTCCTGGGTGCCCTTCTCATCCTGACCCCAGGGTTGTGTTCACAAGACATACACACCACTTTCCTGCTGTCAAACGTGACCTTCTGTGTTAACCTGACAAGCCTGCTCCTTCCCCAGGAGAAGCCTCCCACTGGCGACATGCCTGACCTGTTTCTCAGACACTACGATCTAACAGCCCAATGACAGGATCTGTGACTGACCCCATGACATTGCAAAAGGCTGCTAGGGAAGGTCTTTGCTGAGAGGGCTCGGATCCTTCTCAAGGATGGGTAGTCCACCCCAATCCTCGTGTAAATACTTCCCTCGGATGGTGTCCCTGGAGGACGGACATACCCTGAAAGGGGGGCAACCCTCCCTGAGCTCCGCGACGCCCAGCTTTTACACACTCCAGGCAGCTTTTACCAAAACCACAAGCAATCTGATATTCTCCGGGAAAGACAAGTCAAGGAAACTATAACGTTTTTGCAGCACTTGCTTACCTTTGATTTCCAGAGACAGGTAGCGTCCATGGACCTGGAAGGTGACAGCCCCTGGGAATATCCTCCCAGGACCCACACCACCAGCCATGCCCTCCTGTAACCCACCTCCACATGGCCACCTGAGTGGATGTTATAAAACACCAGTGTGATCACTCCCCTTGTTCTCCATTATTAATCATTTTAGGATTCTCAATACTATCTGCCACCAGAATATAATACCATCAGAAAAAAAACAAACTCTGAATAACTTAACAATAAAAGGTTTATTCCTCATGTGCAGCAAGTCAAGAGTGGATCAGGCAACCCCCCTCCGCTTCTACTTACACTAATTGGAACGTGACCCTCTCTGGTTGTCATGTAGAAAAAGGGACAGAGAGGACCGGGGCCCTCACCACCTCCTCACATTCACTCACAGGCCATTGGCCTAACCGCCCTAATTGCCAGGGGAAGTTTCCATGGGCTCTAACTCCCTGACTTGCTTACAGAGTGTTTGGCAAAGTGGCCTACCCCAAGCATAGTACCTCTGATGGAAGAGGAGAATGGACAGCTTAGTCGCAGAGAATCTGAGGGAATAGCCCAAAGGGGGCCCCAAACAGTGTGTACTTTAAGTTGTTAAAAATTCATGCAGATGTGCACCCTGCTCCTTGTGGCATCCATGTTTGTTTCTATGTGAAAGCCCTTCTGAGTACCCGGAATACACCACCCGGCCCGTTGGTTCAACAGAAGACTGTTACGCTGGTTGTCAGTTCAGCTCGGGGCTGACAGTGGAAGGCTGGTAAGACGCAGCAGGCTCCTCACCCAAGCCAGTCCCTTCTCAGACTGGAGTCCTCCTGTGCTGAGAACCCAAACACAAGTATGCAGTTACAGGCAGCAAGTTCTCTGGTTAATCAGCTATTCCAAAATATTTACTGAGAGAGACTCCAAATTCACTAAAGAGGTGGAAGGATTACATTTTCAGGGTCCTTCTGGGCGACATGCCTATAAATTCCAACGAAGCCACACAAGCCTCTGGGTGGCCGGCGAAGGAGCCTTTCAGACATCTCCAAAGCACTTTTGCTCTCCCCACAGGGCCTTCAGCCTGTCACCTGAGAGTGCCTAAGAGGAGAGGGCCACTGCTTGCAGTCCTTTCCCCCTCAATCTTTTGAATTCCCCAAAACAACAGGAATGAAGAATAGCAATTAAGAATGTTCCTGGGCTCCTGAATCAGCTGCAAAAATCCAAACTCTGCATGCAGAGGAGCCTCCTGCCACTGGGCCAGGGCAGGACAGGGAGGAGGGGCTCGGGTCCAGCTGCCAGGGTCAGGGTCAGCCTCAGCCAAACAGGAGACACGGCTTCTCCCACTCGCCTCCCTCCACCACATGCTCCAGTCCCAGAATAGTTGAGGACGTTTGGGAAATTCACGCTCTAAAAATATTTCTTTTTTCATGTAGGCAAGATAACAGGAGTGACAGTGGGTTACTAAGAATGCAGTTCCCTCATTATGTAACATGGACAAAAATAAAGTGTTCTGGACCAAAAATAGGGCTGAGAAAGAGGAATGTGAATAAATAGCACTGGCAAGTCATTATTTACTCAAAGTGTCAAATGGCTGAAGAACTTAAGAAACGTTTTGATCCGTGTCCCATCGCTTATTAGTCAGCACTGACTGGCCCCGGGAGAAAGCCAATGCCACTTTCCTGACACATGTTTAACATAAGCAGGTGTGTTGTGCAGAGGAGGCTGCTTAAGGACAGGGAGATAGGTAGCACTCCNAATTGTTTTGGCAATGGAACTATGAAATTATGCTATGCTAAACCTCAGCAAGAAATGTATGCCAAGTCCAGAATGCTAAAGAGGTGGTTAGTCTTAATGACCTCACGAAGTTAGAGGGATGGGAAGGAACAGAAACTATGAGGGACAAAGGCTATTTTATTACCTCATCAGAAGATTCAGTCAGCTTGAGAAAGGGTGAGAAAAGAAACAGTGATGAAAGGGAAAGAAGCAAGATGGCTTTTAAAAAGAACTAGACAAGAGATTTCAAGATTATTTCAGACAGCATGCACTACATTAAGGAACATGATCCTATCAAAGGAATATCAAAACAAGTCACACCACATACAACACACCTAGCTGTCAAACTGAGCAGACACACCCACTACGCATGCATCTGATGGTTCAACAGGTGATGTACAGTGTCATTTAATGGGGAAATAATTTAATAAAAATGTAGCTCTTTTACTGAAGAATTAAGATGCTAAAAAAAAGTGCTCATGGCTTGAAAACTAGATAATCCAATGAATTTAAGAATAGGTGTCTCAGAGTTATTCAATTTAGCAAGACTGAAGCAAAATCCAATCAGTGGCTTATTTATGCTGAATTCCATTTAAATATATATGTATATATATCACTGAAACATGTAATCATGAAGTTTATTAACGTGTAATTTTAAGAAAAAGTCCTAAATATGTAAAATTACTGTATGCTATAAAAAATTCTCAGTGAAATTTCATAATTAAAAAAAAATGTTAATATCTTAATTTATTAGTAAAATTGACGTACAAGTGTCCATTATAAAAAGAAAACTTCCAGAATGAATCTGAATGGTTTACATTAGCCAGGCATTTAAGGGCTGAGTTTAAAAATGTACCAACCAGGTGCTTGTTATATGGATTACAACCTGCCAATTCCCTAAAAACAGTCACCACAAG